GACAACTTTAAATGTATGTGATTTTGTTTGGAAACATAGTTGTATTGGTAATGTAGTTTTTATACAAATGTGTGTGCCTTTTTTTTTGAAACATGGTTGTATTGGTAATGTGAAGACACATGTGGTGAATGAATTACATATGTAATCTCTACAAGGAGAAGAGTAAGGTTTCCTATTAGAATAAAGAATACTCTCTGTCTTACAGCCAGGCAAATTTTGTCTTGGCCAGACATTAATAATCTGGGACAATTAACTACTCTCTGTCCTACAGCCAGACAAATTTTGTCTTGGCCAGACATTAGTAGTCTGGGTCAATTAAGTACTCTTTGTCGTATAGCCAGACAAATTTTGTCTGGGCCAGACATTAGTAGTCTGGGCCAATTAAGTACTCTATGTCTGGGTATTGATGGTATTGTCTGTATGTGTAAAATTATTGTCTTTCTACGTGAAAATAATGTATGTATGATTATCTCTAATGTCTGTCTAGATATATGTATTGTTTATCTATTCACAACAAATAATTTGTTGCAATAAATTGACGGACAACTCAAATGGAATGTCAGACAACTACTTTCACATGACACACAACTACAAACCAATTTTAAACAATTGGATTTAACGTGCCAGACAACTAATATGTCTTGCCAGACATCTCAATATCATCACAGAGCAATCTAAATATACACAACTACTTCACAATTTCACCAGAAAGACAACTATCTTCACATTACAGATAAATCAAATGGAATGCCAGACAACTCTTTTCACTTCACAGACAGCTACAAACCAATTTTCAACAAACAAAAATACAACAAAAAAACTATGAGAGCATTCAACTTCGAGAATCTTCAAACACAGGCAACTCTATCCAAGTTGAGCAGCAAATGGGGCAAATGAGGCTGCCTTGTTTCTTCACATGTGCAGCAGCTCTTTCCAGACAGACATCTTATGTAAGATTCCACCAATTGTGAAACTATGCTCAGCTAGACAGACGCTGCAATTCAAATTTGTCTGTCAGACAGACAACTGTTTTTCATGTGGAGTTGGACAAAATAATACCAAAAAATGAGGAAAAAAGACCATGGCGTGCGAGGGCTCAGCTGCTCCAGCCGCTAGCTCCTCTTTCCGTCCAGTCGCCGCTCGCTCCCCTCTTTTCACTAGATTTTGAAGCTAACAGATCTGAACCAAAGCTAACAGATCTGAACCATCACATGTATGTTTCGAAGTTATGTTCGCTGGAATTTGAAGGTTTTGAACTGAAATTACATGGTGCAGAAGGTGTGGAAGGTTTTTAAATCTAGTCGATACTGAAATTACTGGGACGGCGGTCAGGTGTCGTCAGAGAAGATGACCGGCTTGCCACCGGACCTGCTTGGGTGTTCGCCGGAACCAAGCAGGGGGGCTTACTGAGGGAAATGAAAGGGAGATGAAAGGGAGAAGGGCTGGCTAGAAAAGAGAGATGAAAGGGAGATGAGGGGGAAGGAAGATGAGGGAGTGGGGGTAAATTTTTGGGAGGGTATTTATATGGGGTAGGAAATGGGGTAACTATGGGGTACCTATAGCAAAATTGTTGTTGTATACTATAAATACTTTCATATAAAGATATAATTGTCAAAGTTTAGCATTACTACTAGAAAAAATAAAAGATGCTATAGAAATTAGTTCAAATAGGACTAAAACTATGGCAAAAACCTAAAATAGGACTTGCTATGTTTTTATTCCAAAATAGGACCATATGAGTCCTATTGGAAACATACCTATTTTTGCATTCCATTCTTACCCTTCCATTAAATATGAATTAAAAATAGTCAAAAGCCATAATTAAATGTTTAATTCATAATAAATTCGAAAAAAATTCAAAAAATCGTAGAAATATAATTAAAAAATTTATAAATTTTTATAAAATAAAAAATTCAATTTTTTTTTTTTAAATAATTTTATTTTTAAAAAAATAATAAAAAATAGTAAAACTCCGTAAAAAAATTTTAAAAAATATGGATGCCTTTCCCACCGCCTGTACTACCTCCCAGCACCACCACCTCCGACCGATGAAAAAAATGCCATTTTCCCTGAATATGCCATTTTTTCTGAAAATGCCAAAAAAGTGGCATATTTCTCTTTTCGAATGCCAACATTTCATTTTTTTCTGCCATAAATATGGCATTCATAATGAACTTGGCATTTTTTCCCCTGGTGACTGGAGGTGGTGGTGCTGAGGTGGCAGAGGCGGCGGCGAATTTTTTTTTTTTTGAGTTTTTATTTTTTTTTAATTTTTTTTTAATTTTTTTAATTTTTTGAAAAAAAAAATTAATTAAATTTTTAATATCGAAATTTTTTTCTTAATTTTTTAGTATTTTTTACGAATTTTTATTATTTTTTATTATTTTATTAGGAATTAAAACATTTTAATAGCTATAAGGGTATAATTGTCCAAGGTGCACATAATTAGTCCTATGCAAATATAGTTTATTTTTTGGTCCTGTGAAAAGTGAATGACTTTTAGTCCTATTTTGATAATTAACTCAAGATGCTAATTAAAAGGGGAAGAGTAATTACGTTGTACTCCGTACTTCGTAACATTTACATCTGAGTTAGATCCAAACTTTGTTCGGACCGAGGCTTGGGGATCGATGATGCTAATTACTCCATCCGCCCCTATAATTGTGTCATTTTTCCATTTTTGATATTCCCCTGTTTCAGCCTCATACCGTATTCGATAACATTTGTGTGATTCTAATTCATTTTTACTTTATTTTCAGTTTATCAACTCATTTTCAACTACATAATTATACTTTTCCTAAAAACTACATCACTCTCTTCCGTCCCAACATTAGGAGGACACGGAGGTAATAGTTACGGAGTACAGTGGCGGACCCACTAAGGGTCCCACGGGGTCCCGAGACCCCATGGACCTACAAAAAATACCTATATATATTTGTATATATTTTACATAAAATTAAGTAATTAGTGTATTTATAATATTGAAACTAGTTTAGAACACAAATATGGAGCTAGAGCAATGGTTGGATTCCCAATCTCGAGGCTCTATATGTGCGGGAGGTTGAGGGATCAGATTCCTTTGGGAGTCCACTTTTTTGAAAATAAAATTATGGAACAACTTGGGACACCTATTATTATCATGCACCTCTATAGGCCAACTTTTAATCTAAATCTAATTTTCTAAACCTATACCCAATTTTTTCCATAACAAATACTATTATAAAGCCATTATGTATCCCCAAATTTGAGCTTATCTGTGTTATAAACTAATTTCATCATGAAACACGTAATTTTTGAATTCACACACTGAATTTGGAGTCCACTTTTTTGAAAATAAAATTATGGAACAACTTGGGGCACCTATTGTTATCATGCACCTCTATAGGCCAACTTTTAATCTAAATCTAATTTTCTCAACCTATACCCAATTTTTTCCATAACAAATACTATTATAAAGCCATTATGTATCCCCAAATTTGAGCTTATCTGTTTTATAAACTAATTTCATCATGAAACACGTAATTTTTTAATTCACGCACTGCATTTGGAATAATTAAAATATTATGGAACAACTTGGGGCACCTATTGTTATCATGCACCTGTATAGCTCAACTTTTAATCTAAATCTAATTTTCTCAACCTATACCCAATTTTTTCCATAACAAACACTATTATAAAGGCAGCCCCAAATTTGAGCTTATCTGTTTTATAAACTAATTTCATCATGAAACACGTAATTTTTGAATTCACACACTGAATTTGAAATAATTAAAATAAGCAAGTTAAAATCATTTTTTCGGCGAGATGACTGAAGTTACCGTAAGAGCATCATCTTAGCCACTTTTTCATATGACTTTTTTTCATATCTTATAACATACTATCCTCCTCCGTATCACATTATTTACAACATTGGAATACATTATTCATATATTTTACTTTGACTACATTTTATTTATTAATGTATGTGAATTATTTTTGAAAAATATTGTTAAATCCGTCTCATTATTAAGTCTTATAATCTGATTTTTATTTTATTTTTAATAATACAGAATTAAATATAATGACGGTCAAAGTTGTGCGCTGGCAAACGTGAAATGTTGACTGTTGCAACTAAAAAGAGACGGAGGAAGTATAATTTAAATATCATTATTTCCTAATATAGCAGTTTCAGTCGCTTGAGCCATTATCGCATAGTTTGGCTTGATGTGATTTGATCTAAGACTAAAATCAACCCAACAACAAAGTCCTTAAAGTTACACAAATAAATTGGTAATTGTATTAAATTAAAATAGAAACAAAGCTAACAAATATATTTTAAATAAAAATCCAAATAAAATAATGCGAAGTAATTGGATCGAAATTTTCAAATGTAGGCTTTTTAAATTTGATTTCTCATATGCATTCACATTATTTTTAGTTGATAGAGGACATTAACTTTGTAAAATTTTAGTGCCCGTTTAGTGACTCTGTTTTCGGCTTATCAGGCTTATCAATCAACTTTTTAACCAAACATGTAACTTTTGATTTTACGTGCTGAATTATGTAATAATAAGAAAAATAAGGTTGAAGTTATTTTTCAGGCTGTATTGACTGCAGTTGTTGTAGATGACCATTTTATCTATTTTTCATATCATTTCTTCTTTATTTTATTAATATAATATATTTTGAATATAATTTTTCATAATCAGCAGAAACAGTCAATACAACCACTTCAGTCAGAACTTCATAAATTTCAGCAGAATCAGCCGATTCAGCCGATTTCAGTGTTACCAAACGGGCTCTAGTTGATAGTAGACATTTCTTTAAAATTGTTGTATACGTTATGTTAACTATGATATGTTATGCTATTTTACTTCTTCTTTTTATTAATTTTTTATTAATTAGTTACATTACAGTAGGGACCCCGTGATTCTGAGTTTCTGGGTCCGCCACTGACGGAGTACTCCCTCCGTCCCAATAGTTACGGAGATAATTTCTTTTGGGCACAAGTTTTAATAAAGTGGTTGAAAAGGTAAAAATTGTGGTTTAGATTTGACTATAATAAAGTGAAATAATATGAACCACATCTTTCTTTCAAAAAAGGGAAACAAGACCATCATTTTGGGACATACAAAAAAGAAAATACAGGACTATCATTTTGGGACGGAAGGAGTATTAGAACAATAAACAATCTTCCCAGAAGAGCCTATCCCTCTCCTTTTCACTAATTATCTCCAAATTACAAACCTTTGTTTTTTTTGTCCGTTTTGCACCCATAACTCCGAACGGCCAGATCTTATGCCCAGTCTTCATGCTCAACATCGGCCGTTGATTTACTTCATCTTCCTCCTCGTCCTCGTCCTCATCCTCGTCCTCGTCGCAGATGTTATAATTATTGTAACCTTTTTCCTCGAACCTAAAACAACCGGAAATAGGATTAATAAGCTCTCGATCATGAGGACAATCGTCGTTGCGGCGGTCTTCGTCAACCTCCCCGATAACTCCACGGCCGCTCCATGACTGGGCATCATCGTCCTCAACCGCCGCCGAATCCTGGTGGAAAACGGAAGACTTGACGTCTGACGAATCTCCGGTGGCCTCGAATAGAAAAGAACGGGAGAGATCGACGACGTTACGGTTGAAAGTCGCGTTCATCATTTTCGGGTGTACTTTTCATAAAATCAGGTCGAACCTATGGCTTATATACGTGAGATGTATATATATACAAAAAAAATACCCATACCCATCTAGAAGGTACTCGGTAGTTATTATAGGCGTATAGCATAGACCCACGTCTAGAAGGTAGAGTGCAGCATTATTCAAAATACCCATCATTCCATGTCACATGTTTTACACCTCATTAATTACTTCACCAAGGCCGGTTCTAAGGGACAAGAGGGGCGATCGTCCTAGACCCGAAAAAAATAGAAGAAAAAACAGATTCAAATTTTTTTCTTTATTTATAATGTGAGTAGACTTCTTTTTTTATTTTAGTTTCAATTAATTAGACCTTATGATTAATTTTGTTGACAAATTGAAAATTTAAAACAAATAAAGAGTCTTAAACAGGGACAAGTTTAAAACAGAATATATATGATGGATAGTCTACCCGGGGTATATATCCGAAGGTTATTGCGGAGAATAACTAGAGAGAAGTCAGAGCAAATAAGTAAGAGAGAGAGTGTATATTTGATATGTATTCAGCGTGGTTACAAATGAGGAAATGGGGTGCTATTTATAGTAGCAATAAATGCCGGACAGGGACACGTGTCAAGCGCTCATTGGCCGAGGGGTCACCTCAACTGGTTGGCGCTGGCAGCCGCACGTGGCCGCATTTAATGCGGCTGTTGGATGGGACGTCTGTGCAGGGTACGGTGATCTGCACGCATGTGAGGCGGATATCTTGTCGAGTGAGATGCATTCGACTATAGAGCAATGGCCGAGGGCTCCTCCAACCGATGGCACTCTGGTGCTGAGGGCTCACAGTGCCGAGGGCTACTGTTTTCGCCGTTTTCTCCCAGTTTCTTAATTTGCTTGCGAAGCCCGTCCTGTGAGAGTTTAGAGCCTTCGGCCAGGGGGCCGAAGGCACCCCTGGCGCGTAGTGCGGGCTGCTTGGTACTCTGGGCGCTGTGATCTGGGCCTGTTGGGCCTTCTGGGTCTGTTGGGCCTTCGCTGGAGTAGTAGGAGTCTGTGGGCCGGGGGTTCCCGGGCCATATACTCCATCAGGAGTCCCTCACTCCTTTTGCCGAAAGGTACTTGAGGGAAAAGGAGTAACTTGTGCTTGCCCTTTGATGTTGTCCCATCGTGATCTCTGAAGTTGGTGAGGAGTTGTTGCTTTTATGTCCCTGCCGAAGGCAGTCCCTCAGTTACCCACATGTCGGGACTTGAGGGCTTGCCTTGTCGTTTGTTGGAATTTCACAGATTTTGTAATTTAATGATTTTCCCGAGGGGGTCCCCCAGTCCCCCACTCCTTGAGGCACTTGTAAAGTGGTGAAAAGGAGTAAAGTAGTTACGTTGTTGTTGTGGGCCGAAGGCTGACGCTTTTCGTTTCATTTTGGGGGGATGCCTCGTTAAAAACCTCATTAGGAAAAACCCTTTGGGAAAAAATCCTAATGATGGAAAAAGAGTGCACCGAATTCCCCCAATGATGAATCGAAAATGTCAAACCTTGGTAAAAAATGGAGAATGACGGGAATGCCGAAGGCTCTCTGTTCTGAGGGCTCCTGTGTTGATTAGCCGAAGGCTTGCTGTTGATGTCCTGGTGGCGCCGAAGGGGAGCCCCTCAATCCAGGGATCGAGGGCCTGCCAGATGAGGGCAGCAGTGAAGTTGTTACCGGGGGGGTCCACTGTTTGTTGATTAGTTGGTGATGAAGATACCCGAGGGCTCCCATTACCTGTGTGCCATGGGTCATCCGTCAATGAGGCAACTCCCCGGGGGCTACCCGGTTTTGCAGTGCTGAGGGGGAATCCCCGAGGGGTGCCCTGATATGAAGCCCTGGGTTTCTGAAGGAGTGATCCCGAAGGCGTCTGTTATGTGCTGTTTGGGGCACAACCTGGGGACACTTCTGAGTGAGTGTACCCAGGGGCTACCCTTGATGAAGTGGAGTGAAGTAGAAAACCCGGGGGCTTCCGGAATATAGCCGTTGGAAATATAGCCGTTGGAATATGTAACGACAGGATATAGCCGTTGGGGGGGTGGCACACGTGGCGTGTGATGGCTGGCTGTTCGTGGGCGGCGTCACCGATTGGGTGAAACGACGGTGTGTAATGATGACGGTCCGTCCGGAGGCCCGGTTTCCGTGCCCAAGCCCGGATTCCAGCGCCTATAAATACCCCAGGGCCAGGGGCATTCCCTCTTGTGCGATCATTTGTTTTAGCGAAGCTCTGCCGAAAATTCTAGAGAGAGAAACTCCAACCTTCGGTCAAAACTCTGCTTTCAAGGTCAGTGCCCGTTTTCCTCTCCAAACTTTTAGTAAGTTCCGCCCTCTGGCCTTAGATTAGGGTTAGTCATGTAGAAAGCCTTCGAAACCTTAGACACACTTCGTGATAAAAATGTCGTCCGAGAGCGATTCCCAGGACATCTCGAGGACGCCCTCGATGGAGGACGAAGGCCTCTCCGACGTGGAGTCCAGCAGTGGTCAGCCCTCGGATGGTGGTGATGCAGCCCTCGCCACTGAGATGCAGAAGGATCTGATGGCCGAGGCCGAGGCGGAGGAATTCGAGCGAACTGCCGAGGATGAAGAGTTGGCCCTCGCCGTCCAAGTTGCTGAAGAGGAGGAGGAAAAGGAGACGGCGAAGGTCACTGTGGCAGTCCTTCCCCCTCGGGGTGCTGGTGAGGCCAGTACTTCCCAGCCGCTGAATGCGGTTCCCATCCGGGTGGCCCCCGGGAAGAAGAAGGCCAAGGCAGCTGCCCCCAAGAAGAAGGTTATTGCTGCTGATCAGGGGAAACCCGTAGATATGCCGGAGGGGTATTCCTGGCTCAACACGGCTGCCTTGGGGATAAAGTCGAAGGCGGACAGGGCGGACCTCTACGTGACGCAGCTACATGTAGGGCCCTCGGCCGTGGTGGTCGAGCCGGGAGTTGACGACGTGCTCTCTCGGGCGCCTGAGGGGTGCATTGCAGTACACGTACTGTCGGTCTCCATGGGCCCTCGGTTCCCTCTGCACCCCTTCCTCCGGGAGTACCTGAGGTTTGTTGGCTTGGTACCCTGCCAGCTGACACCTAATAGCCACTCCTACGTGGCGGGTTTTTTAAACCTCTGTAGGGACCGAGGGGTGACCCCCAGCCTGGACTTGTTCTTCCAGAGCTTCAACCTCTGTCGAGGGGGTCACGCGAATGCCGAGGGCTTCGCCAACCTGCAACAGGTGGCCAGGTGGAAGCTGTTTACAGAGGCGCCTTCGTCCAATAAGGGCTGGAAGGAGCGCTGGTGCTATGTCAGGGTTGCTGAGAACCCATTTCCGGCGGAACTTCGGGATCGCTTCCGTCGGCATCCGAAGGTTGGAAGCGCCGCCCTCGAAAAAGATGGCCTGGTGATAGCCAAAATCCCGGAGGGTCGCACAAAGCAGGTCTCCATCAAAGACTATACTGCCGACAAGGGATTCTACGCCCTCGGCTTTCGGAGATACCGATTTATTGGGGAAGCGGACGAGAAGTACCCCATTTTTGCTGAGGCCTTCGGGGGAACAGGAGGTAGTCTACGAGGTCCCTCGGTTTTCATATCTTAGCACATAGCTTATTTTGTTCGTTTTTTTTGTTCGTTTTTTTTTATTCTTTGTGCCTTCGGTCAGTAACCCCTCGATTTTGACCCCATACCTTTTTTTGCAGGTGTCCCAGTGAAAATGATGAACGTCAGAGGCCTTGCAGACCTGAAGAAGAAAAAACCCTCCAAGGACCCGAGGGGGACGGACGCCGGTGTCCCAAAACCCGTCGGTGACTTCTTCAAAAAACCGGAGGGGCCGTCGGTGGGCCCAAGTGCTGATGCTGCCGCTGCCGCCAAAAGGAAGGGCTCGGGCAGAGATCCCGAGGGCAAGAAGCCCAAGACCGGGGATGCCGGGAAGAAAGTCCCCCCGGTGATCATTGTTGATGAAGGCCCTGCCTCCGGGGCGAATGAGGACATGCAGGTGGCGAAAGTGCCGCCGGGAGTTCAGGGGCCATCTTCCGAGGTCCTCATGGTTTCCCTCCCGGCTGGTACGGCCGTGATGAACGGTACGGCTGACCCGAGGGCGCTTCTGAGAGGCATCACCCTCGAGATTGACAGAGTAGCCCTCGGGGCTGATGAAGACGAAGCCCTCGAGGACAGGATCCTCCGGTCTTCCCTCACAGTAAGTCTTTTATGTTTATTTCTTTCTTTTCTACTTCGAGCTAAGAAACCATGTTTGGCCTCGCTAACCCCTTTGTTTTTGTAGACCTGCATTGCCCTCGGGGAGCAAGCCCGGCGGCTAGATGAGTGGCGCCTTCGCAAGGCCGAGCAGGAGGCCAAGATGCGGGAGCTCATCCGCCAGAATGCAGACGCTGTTCGACAGATGGCTATGCTGGAGGAGAGCCTTCGGCAGATGACCCTGCGGGCGGAGGCCGCAGATCGGGGTAGGGCAGAAGCCGAGAGGTCCGCAGCTGAGGCCTTGGAGAGAGCTGTCAAGGAAGCCGAGGCCGCGAAGGTGGAAGCCGTCGAGAGAGCCCGAGGGGACGCAATCTCGGGGTTCTTGGCAAGGGGGTGGCGGTCCGAGGAGCACAAGCAATGGCTGTCCTCGGTCGTCGAGTCCTCGGTCGACGAGTGGTGTGATGGGCCTGGCGTGGAGTGGGTTTCCCGAAAGGGTAAACAATACTACGATGGGGGCGAGTTTTTCACTCAAGCCCTCATCTACCGGAGGATGGCTCGCCACTTAAAGATCGAGCCAAAGGACTTTGACCCGGCAGCATACGGGCTCCCCCCCCCCCTGCAGCCAGACATCCACGTTCCTCTTCCCCCCGATTTCGAGAGGCCAGACCTGGAGGACTCTGAGCTCATGAAGGAAGCTGAGGGCGACGAACCTGAGGCCGACGCAGAAGTCACCTCGAAGCCATCGGGGGAGGCGGCCCCCGGGAATGACATGATTTGATATGTATTTTGTATTATGTAAACATGTATTTGTAATGATGACATTATTCATCCTTCGGCTTCGGCCTGCTTGTAACATTTATTCGTATTACATTTGCCCTCTGTTTGTTGATGATTGAATGATTGCCTTCGGGCTGTGTTTATATGATTTGTTTTCTCCAATTCCTTTCTTCTTGAATGCATGCCTTCGTTTTTGTTTTGGATGTATGTCTTTGCTCCTTTGAATGTATGTTTTAGGACTTAGAATATTATCTTATTGTAGCTAGCCCTTGGGAGCCTTCGGTAGTTGGGCATCCTCTGCTGGACATACGACCGAGGGTTCAGCAGGAATTGGGACTTAGAAATTTTTTCTAAGTGTAGCACAGCATGAGGCCTTCGGGCGTTTGTAGTAACCCAAATCCTAGGACTTAGAAAAATTTCTAAGTGTAGATTTCCCCTTGAGCCTTCGGGATATGGCATCCCTTCCTGATGTGTGAATGTTGGACCGAGGGCCCAATGTACAGGACTCAGAAATTTCTTGCAAGTGTATTATGTCACGTAGCCATCGGCTACTGGGGAGCCCCAACTGAAATATTGAATAGGCCGGGGGCCAATTCTTTAGGACTTAGAAAATTTTCTTGAGTGTCGATTCCTTGTGCACTGTAGCCCTCGATTGATAGGTAGCCTTCGGCTATTGGGTCCCTTTATAAGTCGAGGGTGAAATATGTAGGACTTAGGAAGATTTTCTAAGTGTAGAGTTTCCCTTGGGAGCCTTCGGGAGATGGCATCCCTCCATGATGTATGAGTAGCTGACCGGGGGGGGGGGGAATATGCAGGACTTAGAAAATATTCTAAGTGTAGATTTTCCCTTGAGAGCCTTCGGGAGATGGCATCCCTCCTTGATGTATGAGTAGTTGACCGGGGAAAAACATGTAGGACTTAGAAAATATTCTAAGTGTAGATTTTCCCTTGGGAGCCTTCGGGAGATGGCATCCCTTCTTGATGTATGAGTAGTTGACCGGGGGAAAAACATGTAGGACTTAGAAAATATTCTAAGTGTAGATTTTCCCTTGGGAGCCTTCGGGTGATAGGTGCCCTCTGACTCCACATCACTTTGCCAGATGCCCGGGGGCTGCTCATTTAGGACAGAATATATTTTTTCAAGTGTTGTTGTATTGCATGACCTTCGGCTACCATATTCCCTTGGCTGCTCATGAAGAGTTGTAGAGTTTGACTCAGCCAGTTGTGTCCCTTGTAATGGGGTAGGGGCCCTCGGTATTAATGTATAACAGCTGCCTTCGATACATATTTGAAGGTACCGTCTTAGTGTACTTTGGATAGTCCAGTCCCTTTGTATTGTTGAAGCCTTCGGTGTTTGTGTGACCGGAGGTGACCAGGCAGTGGACTTAGCCGTTCCTTGCTGCTATTTGTTCGAGTAGTATCCTTCGGGAAATAGGAGCCTTAAGTTACAGGAGGTGTTCCCGTGGGGAGCCCTCGGCTTGTTGTGATCTGTTGGAGTGTACTCTTTGATTTCTCGCTGAGTCTACTCCCCTTCACCCCCTTTTTTTTCTTGATTGGTGGTGAAGGGAAGGCATCAAGAAACTTGGTTTCTTGGTAAGGCTGGGCCTATTAGGAGACCATCAGAATACACCAATGGCTCTCCTCCCTCGGGTTAACCTTCCGAGTTCCGAGGGGATCGAGGGACGTTTCCTGGGCACAAGATATGGTGGTCCGTAACCTGCCTCCCCTTGGGGGATGGCGCGGAAAGCGCCTCATTTTTGAAAGTCGTCCCCTCGGCGCTAGACATAGTCCGTGGCCTGCCACACCCTTGGGGTGGTGGCGCGGGGAGCGTTTCGGTTTGGAAGTCGAATCCTGGGCATTTCTCATGCCTGTCATACCCTGGGGGTAGTGACGCGGATAGCGTTCCGTTTTTTAAAGTCGAATCCTGGGCATTTCTCATGCCTGTCATACCCTGGGGGTAGTGACGCGGAAAGCGTTTCAAGGAAGGGTTTTCATTTGCACACTAGTTGCAAATGGCCGGGGGCACTACGTGCGCCGGCACCGATGGTGGCGCCTTCGGTATATGCGTCCTCGTGGGGTACGGCTTTTAGAAACAACACTTGGTGTTAGTTTCGATGTGTAGCCCCCGGTACTTGGTACCGAGGGGTCTTCTGTAGGAACACTTGGTGTTCTCTTTTGTCGTAGTTGATGTAGGCGTCTACCCTCGGTACTTGGTACCGAAGGGTCTTCAAATGAAACACTTGGTGTTTCCCAACAGATGTTTGGAAGTTGATAGGAGAGCATATCCCTGGCACTGGGTGCCGAAGGGTCTTCTGTAGGAACACTTGGTGTTCTCATTTTTTCTTTTTTTATGATGAAGGTGGGAATGTACCCTCGGCACTGGGTGCCGAAGGGAAATGAAACACATGGCGTTCCTTGTTGTTGGCGATAGGAGTTCCCTCCCTCGGCACTGGGTGCCGAGGGGTCTTGACTGAAAACACGTGGTGTTTTCACTGTTTGTTGTAGGTGTTGATGGTGTCCGCCCTCGGCACTTGGTGCCGGAGGGGGTTCTTCTCGTGGTGAGGCCTGGGGCCTGTAGTTAGTATGAGGGCTTGATGTCTTGAATGTATCTTCATTCTTCGAAATTGGAGGCCTTGTGCCATAGGATAGTACATTCACTAGTTATGAGGGCTTGGCCGCTCTTACATTATTGATAAAATTTAACTAAATGGTGTACATTCCAGTGCCTAGGGACTTCTTTCCCATTGGGGCGTTTGAGCTTGTAGGTCCCGGGTTTGATGATGGCTGCTATGATGTAGGGGCCTTCGAATTTTGGTGCCATTTTTCCTCCCTCGGTTGGTTGGCTGGCTTCCCTCCTCCGGAGGACATAGTCCCCCACTTGAAATTCTCGGGTGCGAACTTTGGCGTCGATGTAGCTTTTAACTTGCCTTCGGTAGTTTTCTGCCCGGATGAAGGCCTGCTCCCGGCGTTCTGAAATGAGGTGGAGGTCGAGGGCCATGTTGTTGTCGTTGACCTCGGGGTCATATTGGATCACCCTTCGGGTGGGAAGGGTGACTTCCGTAGGAGCTTTGGCTTCAAAACCGTAGCAGAGGGAGAAGGGTGTTTCACCTGTTGCTCGCCGAGGGGTGGTGCGATAGGCCCAAAGGATGTTGTGGAGTTCTTCCACCCAGCCACCGCCCTCGGCCTCTAGCTTCTTTTTTAGGCCCTCGAGCAAGGTCCGGTTGGCATTCTCTACTTGTCCGTTGCCTTGAGGGTAGGCAACGGAGGAGAAGGTGTGTTTGATGCCCCATGCCTCCAGAAGGGCACAGAAGGGGGCTGCCTCAAATTGTGTCCCATTGTCGGAGATGATCTGCTGGGGAACGCCAAACCTTGTGAGGATGTTCTTGAGGACGAAGTGACGGCACTTCGCCTCTGTGATGCTGGCGAGGGGCTCAGCCTCCACCCACTTGGTAAAATAGTCGACGGCCACAATGATGTATCTGTTGTTGGAGGTACCCCTCGGCAGAGGGCCCACAAGGTCTATCCCCCATCGAGAAAATGGGACAGAGGTGCTGATGGGGGCATAGTTGACCGCTGGCCTGCCGGGAGTTTTCTGGAAATGTTGACATGCGGTGCACCTCCGGGCAAGGTCAGCACAATCCCTGGCCATGGTTGGCCAGAAGTAGCCCTGGAGAATGAGCCTTCGGGACATGGAGAAGGGTCCTTGGTGAGCTGAGCAAGTGCCACTGTGCACTTCCTCCATTGCGACCTCGGCTTCATCTGGATGAAGGCACCGAAGTAACGTGCCATTGTAAGATCGTTTGTAGAGCCTTCCATCTTCGATGGTGTAGCTGGGAGCCCTCAGCTTTGCCAGTTTGGCGCGGGCCTCATTCTCGGGTAGATGCCCTGTGGAGATGAAGGCGGTGATATCTGAGATCCAATCCTCCTGACGTTGTTGTATGTTCATAACGGGGCTTGCATGGATGCTTGAGAGGCTGAGTTCCTCGATTTTGGCAATTTTGGAGATGTGCTCGGGGGAGTCGGCCGAGAGCTTAGATAATATGTCGGCCTCGGAGTTCTGAGCCCTCGGTATTTGAGTGAGAGAGTGTGCCTCAAATACCATAAGCAACTCATTGGCCGCTTCCTTGTACTGTTTCATTCTCCCCTCCTTGGCCTCATATTCTTCGGAGATTTGGCCAACGACCAACTTGGAGTCGCATTTGATGTGGATCTGCCGAGCCCTCATGTTGGCAGCCAGCCGAAGGCCACATAGGAGGGCCTCATATTCGGCCTCATTGTTGGAGACCTTGAAGGAGAAGCGGATTGCATAGTAGTCCCTGAAGCCCTCGGGAGTAATGAGGACTACCCCTCCCCCGCATGCTTTGGTCGCGGAGGAGCCATCAGTGTAGAGGGTCCACCAGTCGTCCGATGTAGCCGAGGGCTCCCCGTCCGTGGCTGCCCTTGCGGTACATTCCGTCACAAAGTCCGCCAGGGCTTGGCCCTTGATGGCGGGCCTTGGACGGATGTCAATGTTGTACTGGCTCAAGAAGATAGCCCATTTCACCATGCGGGAGGAGCTGGTGGGGCTCCTCATGAGGGCGCCGAGGGGTTGATGGGTGAGGACCTGAA